ATTGCACTCACAATGTGCACATCATATTATTAAGGAAACATCATATTTTCTTAAGGGAACAAGATTTTCTAACAAAGTGACAAACCACCTTTCATAAAGTGAAAATACAGAAATTATATGGCAGTTGGAATATCACACCTAAGTCCAGAGCACTGCATTACAAGAAAGTAGAAAGGCCAGGGGACAGCAACAAGAATTAATGAAGTACAAGAATTTTTTTTCTATAAAGCAGAAAATAACAAACAGGGATTGTTTAAGAGAAGAACACGGTGAAAACACGACTAAGAATCTCAAATACATAAGAGTGTGGTGCAAAGATGAAAATAAAATCCATGTACCACCAACTAACTAGCAAAACCTATTAGGTTGAAGTAATTTACTTGTAGCAAGCTAAGTTTAAGAGCAGAAAGCACAAAAAACTAATGGGAAGACTAGTGAAATGCTGGAATAGATAACTTAGGTAAGTAATCATAACAAATCTTTAGGCAGACAGGCAAGTGCTCATTTAAAAAGGCAGCTTCGATTCATCCTGGCTTAGAAGGAAGAGTGAGGGAGTGGGTATGACACCTTTTTGGAGTAATTTTTAAGTGTATGAGTCTATGCTGAAGTGACCAAAGAAATGTAGCTATGTAGTGATACCACATTACAGTACCATTTGCTGTGGGATCTTGACTTGGAAAGAAAGTCGTATTCTGGAAAAGACCCAACCAATTTTTTCATGTACACAGCCACTTGGATTCTTATACAATCTACGGATCACTTAGCTACATTGATCCAATCTGCAGCTTCTTTATTCAACAGTTTAATGCTAGTTACTTCCAGGGCTGGACTATACATAACCAATGTCTAATCTAGCCACAGGATATAGCATTTTGCTTCCTGAGAGGAATTACTTAGTAACTTGTCCCATGGCCTTGAGGCCAAACAACACTAGCAACAGCTACTAATAACACTGAATTCCAGATGTAGAGTCTGGTGGAAATTTTTAAAGGAATTAGCTTGACAATACTTTGCTTTAAAAATCTAGATGTACTCCAAATTTTTGATCCCCTATCTCTAGCTTACTATTAAGTTGGGATCATTAGTTTGTTTGGTTGGGGATTTTTTTTTTGGGGGGGTGTGTTTGCTTGTTTGTTTTTAATTTAAGCCTAAAACATTTTATTGGCAGATCGACTTTAATTATTAGAATCAAAATCCTGTAAAAATGGCACAAGTCTTTGGAGAGTTAACACGAAGTAAGTAAAGGACCTTCTCTAGTCAACTATTTTGTTTCCAGTAAAAGTATATATGATTGCTATAATGTAAGAACACAGGACAAGTGTACAGCTGACAGCCTAATTAACAACTAAGTATGGAAAAATTAATATTTTCCAACTTCATTTCAATATTCTTGCTTTTTATTCTATATTAAGTAGCATATAGAAGTAGGAAAGTTACATAGCCATGCATATTTCCTACATTTAAATCACTTAACACCAGGTAAATGATCCAAGGAAAGTAGAACAAACTTGCATCATGATTCACCTTTTGGATAGTGAGAACCAAACTATTAGGAAAAGAAATGTTTTCAAAATGTATAAAGACCATGACACTTGAAATAGGTACAACAGCAATATAGCGAATATCAGGTGTTCTCAAAGTTTCTGCAGATAACAAAGTAGCTCCCACTCAAAGCATCGTAATTTGACAAAGTTACAAACATCTGTGCTTCAAATAAAATCCTTTAAAATACATCTCACCTATACGTGATTGCTCTCTGATAATGTGTACATATTGCCCTTTTCACAAGCTTTACAAAGAGGTACAAAACCCAACACCACCTCCACCCTCTAATCAGTAAAGGTGCCAAAAAACCACGGTCCCAAAGTGAAATGAGCCCCCGGTTTGCCCCTTGGGGTGTCTGCAGCGTACTCACCATGGCGGGCTAGTTTTGAAGACTTTCTTCCCCTCCCCCTGCACCTATGCACAACGAGGGAAAATGGAGAGCAGTTTCAGCATTAAATTTGAACTTCCCTGCTTTTGTTAGCATGAGTCACCACCTTAACATTATCTCAGCTGTAGACTTTTATCTGTGAATATCTAAACCCTGTCTTGTGGAAAACTAATTACTGAGCCACTGAGAGGCTTCATAATGTCCTGCATTTAAGTCCTGAACATCATACATAATGCATAGGAAGCAGTCTCTGCACTCTGATTACAGAACACTGTCATTAAGAGAGCAAATTAAAGATGTGAATAATTCACTGGCTGAGCTTATTGTCAGTGCTGCATTGTGAAATTAGAATTTCTAATAAGTACTGCAATTTTTTTAACCCAATTAACACAGAGAACATCTTGAGTCTGATTAGTACAATAAAAATTATTACCTTATTCTTTTGCTTCACAACAGCCAAATTAAATACTGTACTTAATTATGCAGCATTCATTGCTTCTGTGCTAGAAATAATAATAATAAAAAAAATTCTCACTATCGCTTTAATAAGACTTCCGATATTTAGAGTGCAACCAAAAAATAGAGCACATGAATCTCCTGCACAATTTCTTATCACGAAGTTACTAGCTTTTTTTTTTCCAAAGACTTTGAAAATCGGTTTTAATATCGGCAGTCAACCATGATGTCACTGCTGAAGTCTTCTCTGAAACAAAAACGTATTCAGAAAAAAACACCACAAAATGACCCTTCTGAGCAGGCTCTGAATATATATTGTGAATTAACTTTCTCTGGGTTGATGTGAAGGTAGGAAAAAAAAAGCATTACCACTCACTGCCTTGAAACCAAATACACAAATATACAAACATATATATACACACACACACACACAGACACAGATATATAGGCTGTTTCAGAGAAGATGCTTAGGAAATATACTATGAAAAAACAGGAGCTGGATCAGCTCTCTTACCTCAGTTCCCTCTTGGCACGGGATAGATAACATCCTTTCATCCCAGGAAGGAGAAAAGTCCAATTCAACATCCAGCGTGTTGATTTTTTCCCACACGATGCCTGCTGCCATGTTAAATAAAGAAAATGATCACTGAGGATGCAGCTTTTGTCTCCAAATATTTGAATACTGCCTTTTAGTGACAAGGACCCCAGGAACCTTCGCACATCTGGCAGCACACACCACTGGCTGCAGCTGCTGCAATGGGATTTTTCCTCAACCCTATTTCATTTCCAGCTCCTTTTCTTCCCCATCCTGAGGAAGTTTAATCACCGAGCACGGCTGGGGAAGAAAAAAAAAAAAAGAAAAGAAAGAAAAAAAGGAAAGGTGGCATTGCAATCCCAAGCTTTCTTGGTTCTTTCCTAGAGACAGGGACTGCAGCAACCACCTTGCATCTTTGTCTAGTTATTTTAGCATGTGCGTGCAAGAGGGGAGGAAAAAAAAAGAGTGAAAATTATTCAGGCATAATGCAATAGACATAAAGAGAGACAAAAAGACAGGGAGAGAAAGAGAGGGGAAGAGAAAGAGGGAGAGAGAGGGAGAGAGAGGAAACAGAAAGACTAAGAGAGGGAGAGGGGGCTGTCAGTGCAGATAAATCTGCATATGGAAATCAGGGTTATCCTGGGTACAGTTTTATTTAACCATGATGTACTGTTTTTTTAATTAGAGAGGAATTTAAAGAAGGAAATGAGAGATTCTTACAGACGCAGGAGCAAACGAAGCATTTTGAATCATACCAGAGTTTTCACAGCAAGATGTAGCAGCAACAACAAAACTTTTTATAGCAACTTTCTTACTAGAAGCAAGTTCCATTCACTGCTGCTAGCTTGCACCCGAAAGCTAGGCAAAAGTGGAAAAGCATTCATTTTGAAATGAAATCAAATCACAGCAATCCGAAATAATACAATATTTTTTAAAAAGACTAGAAGCCACTGGGTGTATAGTATGCGTTTTAAGCTACGTTATGCTAGGCACAGGTTTTAGGACTTTCACCCTAGACCTATTCAGTCACCCTAATCTGTGGTGACTGACATACCCAATGAAGGTGCTTTAGTAAATGATAGGAGTGTTACCCAGCTTGAATTTCAAATGCACTAAACAGTACTTGCTGAGAATTTCTTGTGATTGGAGTTGTTGAGCATTACCTGGCAGACAAGGGAAGGTTGGATCTGGGTCTATAGGGCATCAGAAAAGACCAGAGGGACCTTTTGCCCATCTCTGTGAGGGAGCATGGAGATGAGTGAACTGAGAAGGCCTAAGAGAAGAAGGAAAATGAAGTTTGAAAAGGGTGGACAAGAAAGAAACCAGAGAAAGGTAGTGAACAATTGGAGTACAAGGGAACTTATATGAAATATGAGGCAAGACTACTTACAAGAGCATGTAGTGCCAGGCCAAGGGGGAATGGGTTCAAATTGAAAGAGAGTAAATTTAAATTAGATATTACGAAAAAAAATTCTTTACTGTAAGGGTGGTGGGACACTGGAACAGGTTGCCTAAGGAACTTGTGGATGCCCCATCCCTGGAGGTGTTCAAGGCCAGGCTGGATGGGGCTCTAAGCAATCTGATCTAGTGGAAGGTGTCCCTGCCCGTGGCAGGGGGGTTGGAACTAGATTATCTGTAAGGTCTCTTCCAACCCAAACCATCTTGACTCCATGATTCTGCGAGTACAAAGGAAGCTACATCTGATGTGGGCACTAAGTAGCTGTGGCAAGATGGTGGTGTTCAGGTGAGAGGTGGCCAGACACCACTTGCGGTGGTTGGCCGGGCAAGGGACGGCCACGGAAGCAAGGAAACCAAGCGGCTTGGTGACACTGGGAGGAGCAGCCGGCGCCGCACGCGGCGATTCGCCCTGGGGTGGGCGGAGCAGAGCAGGCGACGCGAAACGGGTAGAGGAAGAGATCGCGCGGGAGGGAGGAGGAGGAGCAGGAGCAGGAGGAGGAGCAGGAGCAGGAGCAGGAGCAGGAGGAGGAGCAGGAGCGGCCGCCGCGGGAGGAGGAGCGGGCGGCGGCCAATCGGCGCCGCGGCGCGTGCGCGGTGCCCGCGGGACGGTGGCGCGCGGGACGCACGGAGGGCGCGGAAGGGGCCCGGCGGCCCCGCAGCCCCGCAGCGCAGGTACGGCCGCGGCGCTGTCCAGAGCCCCTCGCGCCGCCCGGGAGCGGGCAGCGGCGCTGGGCCGCGGGCCCCACGCGAGCGGGTCGTGTTCGTGGCCGCTCCCCGCGGTCTGTGCTGCCCGCCGGCGGCTCCCTTGGCGGCTGGGATGCTCCTCTTGGCGGCTCCCTCGCCGGTTTGCAGCTTCTGCCCGCGCACTGCAGCCCCCTGAGAGGTGTCTCCTGCATGGGTGGCCAAGAAAGTTGCGGTGCTTAAAGTCATTTGGTTCCGCGGGATCAGGGGTGTGATAGACAAGTACAGAGCTGATGGGAGTTGGCGGCCGGGAAGAGCTGCCCTTTTTGTACCTTTTCTCCCAGTGTTTTCTGTCCTCCGGGGCGGTTTCGTTACCCCAAATTGAACAGGCTTTCCTTAGAAATTCATGTGGTTGAGAGCATTCCCTTCAGCTGCCTCGCCAGCTGTGCCAACACCCGTACATAGGGGCCTGCTGTAAACTGGAGCACTGAAGGCGTTCTTTCCCTTCTTGCTGCTCTGCAGAAATGTGAATGAATGGGAGAAAGTAGAACAGAAACTGTTTTCTTTTTTTTTTTTTCCTTGAGCTTATTTTTCAGTCAAGCCTGTACTACCCACTTCTAGCCATGGTGTAAACTAGTTTCTGCAAGAACCGTAACAAAATCTGCCAGCAATGAAATTGAAAACTTAATTTAGGGTCTTAGTTATATTGTTTGCATATTTTTGTGGAACTCTGTGACACTTGTTGCCTGGTTTGGCTCTTTTGATATGTTGTATATGAATACACTAACTATACAGTGAACTTCTTTTGGACATGATAATCTTTCTTTGCTTTTGTTTCTCTTTTTTCAGATTCCTAGGTAATTAGACTTTTTTTTAATAAGAATTTCTAACTATGTGAGAATCAGCTGTACAGTAATTTTTTGAGCTTTAAAACTTTAGCATTTCAGGGTTCTGTAATTGTCATATGGGGTGTATTTACTGCTTCCTAGAAGGAGCTTAAGCTGTAATGTTGCCTTAAAGTTATGGGCAACTGGGAACCTGTAATGCATGATGTATTTTCATAGCATAGCTACTCTGGTCATAAAATGAAGTGTTGCTGAAAGTAGCTCACCCATGCCTTGTAATGCATTCCTGCATTTTTTGCCCCATATTTTGCCCTACTGCTAGTCTAACCTTGTGGCTAAGTTAATTTTGATAGCTAAACCAGAAGGAAATGAATCTGTTCAGGGTTTTTTTTAGTTACTGATTTGAGTTCTTTAACAGGTTGTGACGGAGGAAGATAAAGTTGCACAAAGCGGCAGAATTTTGAGGCACAGCATGAAACCGTGATTGCCTGCCTTGGTGCTCTCAGCTTTTAGTTTTATGTTACAATTAATCAGATCTATGTCCTCACTTGAGCTGAAGGATTATGCAGAGTTGTAACAATGAGAAATTTATTTGAAGAAACACTATGGGTATTTTAACATCTGTTTATTTTCTGGGTCAGGTGGAAACAATGGAGGATGAATTTGAGGCTTTGTCCACACCCTCATTTCTTACTGAGAGCTTGGATATGGCAATGGAAGTGGAGAATGAGAAGCCACCTTGTTTTTCTTGTGCTTTTGACAACCAAAATGGAGGGAGAAGCTTCTCTGCGGAGTCTTATTTAGCAAATGGGTCTCTTAAGAGGTATGAGACTTTTTTGAATTACAGATATAAGAACCCTCTGAGATGTTCTTTCCACTCATGTTTGGTGCCTCTGAACGCTGACAAGTTTCCAGATCAGTTTGTTCTTCAGCTCTTATGGTCCTGAGATCAACTTGGTGGTATACCAAAGTGGGAAGGGCAGTTGTGTTGATAAACAGCTTTGAACAGTGTTCTAGGTCCAATTCCTAGCTTTGTGAACTTGCTTTTAAGATATTGAAAAAGATATGTTTACAAGCCTGTTAGGACACTTCAAAACTGGCCTGTTGGACAACAGCATCTGAGATCACTTAAATCTCTGAAGGGGCTTCAGCACTGCTTTTCCCAGTCATATACTCTATTAAATGCTGGCCCTTTCTCTCTTTTCCACACTATAGAAACAAACCTGCTCTGCCCAGCTGCCTCAGATTGCTGGGACTGTCCTTTGTAGCTTTAAGACCATCTTTCTCAAAGCTTTACCTTTGCATGCATTCTTGATTTAAGGTTCAGAATTTGCATGCTCGGCAGGTAAGTATTTTCTGTGGTATTTTAAAATGTTACTTTGGTTTAGTTATTATCTGCTTTACTGTCTGTGATCCAGCTTAGTTTTCTGTGCCGTTTGCTCATCCTACAGGAGTTGTCTTGTTTTTCCCGCAAAAGCCTAATCTTTCTGTCTGCCTTCCTGCCAAGTCTCTTATTTTGTCTTATTTTGTGTTATTTTGTTTATAACCTTCACTTCCACAGCCTTTTCTCTAAAGCCTTAGAGGGGGTTCCACTGCACCTCCCCCATTTCCTGCCTTATTTATGATATATTTTAGTTGGATCGTAGTGCATTCATTCAAATCGATGTCAAGTAGAGTGCTCAGGGAGCCTGTGTCTGCATGAACATATCAGTAGTGGATTCCACAGTGACAAAGAAACATTTCACTGAAATAGTTTCTGTCATTAAAACTCACTCAGGAGCTTGTATGTAGGCAGGTTTCCCAATAACTAGTTGTGATGATATTGTTCTCCTGTTGTGTATTTACATTGTCTACCTGGATTGTAAAGTCTTGGAAAAGCCTATATGTGAGGGACTCTTTTGTCTTCATTACTTAGAACAGGAATAGCTGGATTTAATTGCTAAAGACTTCAAAACAGTCCAGTGTTTAAAGAAGTTACCAAGTGAACTAAGGTGTTATGGGAGATTAAGCCAATTATTTAGCAGATACTCTTTCCGCTTCTGAGAACTAAATTGGTAATAGTGCATAGTTCAAGCAGAATATTAATTTGGTGTGTAGTGTAATAAAAACAAAGTGCTTGACTAGTATATATTTTTTTAGTTTTTAGAATAGAAATATTTCTTGCATATTGGTGAATTGAGCTTCGTCTCTATGGTAGTATTTTATGAAGGGCCATGGGAAAATTCTGAAATAATTTACTTTGATATTGTTATTATACAGCTTGCTGTGATTTTTTTTTTAAAGGACATTAATGAAATATTTTTCTATTTGTTCAATTAGTAATGTTTTAACAATACAGGTGTCTGATTTTCTACACTTTAAATAATATCAGAATTACCATTTTACTCAGGTTTTTTTTTTTTTAGCCAGAGTGAAGGATATTTATGACCTAGTGTTATTTAAGTTATAATGATGAGGTAATATTTTGACCCTCATCTGTTCACTTGCCTAAAATTGTGTTTTTATCAGTTTTCTGTATAAATATTATTAAATGTATATAAAGGAACTAATGTATGTTCTGGCATTAGTTATTAGGCATGTAGTGTGCATTGAGACAGATTCCAAACATGCACTTAAGGTGGAGCGTGTTATCTTACGTAGCAGCCCTCTCTGTAAGGACTGATGTGTGCATGTTATGTCTTGGCCCCTCTGTAAGGATGAAGATGCTTCAAGGTGGTAGCTTGTTAATTTTTATTTGTTTCAAAATATGTTGTGACCTGTGACTATATCCTGTTTTCATGCTCTTGAAGCTAGGTGTTGTCATAGACTATGTATCATATTGCTGTAAAAGGTAAACTGTCTTTTGAGACATATATAGGATACATGTTGCTGATATATTCAGAAAGTATTGGTGGTACATAAGCCAGCTGTAGGTTTTGTATTCCATAGGTTTATTATTGGAGAATGTATGAATATTGTTGGCTCTATTTTACAGGGTTTTGCTGAGACTAGATCCTTCTCCAAATGACTATGAAGAAGATGTAGTGGAAATGTTTGGCTTTCAGTGGGTTACTGAAATGGCGTTAGTTGAATCCTGTGGATTTCTCTTTGGATTACTTAGGTATGACAACGTCGTATTTTATAATTAATCCATTTCTGTAGTTATACCCACCTTAAAGATGTAACAAACTTTTCAGTTTTTTGATAGTAATAACATAAAAGACTGTGGGCTATGCAATGCATCTAAAAAAGATTATGCTGTCTGTTTAATGCTCCAGTAAGTGATGGATAAGGCAGAGATGGGATTGCAGGAAGAAGTACATTGTGTCACTGATTTTTAATATTATGTGACTTAATAATAAGTTTCTCAGTAGTGCGATACATATCTTAGCCATCACTAGATAAAGAATTGGTAACTATAGTTATTACAAGAGAGTGTTGGGGTTAATTTAGAAGGCTCTGGCTTCAGAATATATGAACAAACTGTGTAAGATTTCCTTGAATGAGGTTGTGCTACCCATATAATTGAAGTTGTCTTTTGAAGATTTTTAGTCCCTTTTTGTGCATGAAGGAAAGTGGAGGTTAAAAATCAAATACTATAAATGCTGGATGCAGCACTTTCTTCAATTGTTTGGATTAGGATAGCTTCAGCAATCTCTTCAGATACAGTTACTCAGTGTTTGACTAATTCAATGTAGATGCTTAATCTGGTCAATGCAAATACACAGATCACTGATAATCCTCTTTGCTTCTGATAATCCTCAGAATGTACAGCACATACAGAGAGCGGATGGGAGAGAAGCTTTTGTATGATTCCACAAATATATGTGATGTATTCCATCATTCCTTTCATTGTAGTGGATTCTTCCATGCCTTTAAGGTTTGACCAAGGGCATGATGTGAAACATGATTAATAGGGTCTGGCTTATTGAAACATGATGGCATAGATGGCAGGAAGTGTATTAAAACCAGTGTTATTTAGTTTTGCTTGATGCAAGCTTTGACTTTAAGATATTTAAAAAAACCTAAAAACCCACAACCCGAAAACAAATTGATAATGAAGATTTAACTTTAACTTAGTTAAAAATTTCAGCATTTAGTCTAATTTTTTGACTGTTCATTCACATAAAATCACTGGGCAGTGACACAGCAATGCAGTTGGTCTGTTGAATTAAAACAATTTTTTTTTTCTCTAGTGTAAACTGTTCTGTAATTGTACTAGAGATGAACATAAGACATAATGTTTGTCGTTTTTAAGTTATTCAAGTTGTACATGTTTTAAAACCTACTGAACTGGTAGGAATAATGGATTTCAGCTAACTCTCAGCTATTGAAAGTTTGGTTGCTGAGCTGTCTTTTGGTGTGACAAGTCCCTGTGGAAAGATATTCTCTCAGTTCATTTGTTTAGTCATAAAATGGAACACTTTCATTTATAGACCAGTTGACAACTGAAAGTAGGATAACTCCTTTTTTCCACTGTAGAAATTGTATGTGTTAGCTATAAGTTACAATAGTTCTTGAGTGTAAGCTGGCTGTAAATAGTTCAATTTATGAAGTACAGTTAATATCTTTGTTTAAATACATGTTTACGGAAACCTAGTCTTTTTTAATGTCTAAGTATAATATTAAAGATTGTAATTTAATGTTTTTAATATTGTAATAAATAATAATAGTATATTGCAGAACTGCAAGTTAAAGCAGTAATCGCATACTAATAATACATGTGATTACATGATCACATAATTTTCATAGAAGTGTGAGTCAAAGTGAATGAGAGCTATGTAACCATTTAAGTGAGTATATTAAAACAATATATCTTTGATTAATAAACAGATGTACCAGTTTATCTCTCAGAATATTTATTTGCAAATCAAATTATTTAATGATTAACAACTGTGAGGATCAATCTTTCAGGTACAAATGCAAATTGAAATTAAAATTATTTATTTAAATGATGGTACTTACGTTATGCTTCTCATGCCCGGTTTGTGCTTTTATTTTATTAGCCCACGGCATTTTGTCTTTTGTCAATTCACTGGGGAGTCTTTTTTTCTTTTATTTGTGCGTGTATGTCTCCTTTTTGTCACTTTCCTCCTCTAACCTTCAGTCTCAACAGCCGTGTTTCATAAAGTCCTCCTATTTCAGACTTCCTCCTTTTTACATGGTTGAAATACTTGAAAATCCAAGCAGAAATTCAACTTTGATTTCAAAACAGACCAAAAAGCTCCACAACCCGTTTAAAGGGCTGAAGATAATCTAATCTTGGCTAGCTGACGTGATTTTATCCAATGAAGAAAGAACTAAGGGAGATAGTTTTAGTGTTTGCCCTTTAATATGCAGGTTGCAATTTGGATTTTTGGATCTGTTAGGTGCCTCCTAGTTTTCAGGGTTTTTTTCTGTAAGAACATTTGATCTATGTTGGATCCAAGTATCCTGTTTTAGAATCCTTCAGTAGTTGTTGCTTTGACTGTGTAAGAAATGAGGCAGAGAGCCCACTCCTCAATTTATGCAGCATTTTCTTTCAAAAGTCTGTCTGACACAGTTGTGCTTTTCATATATTCAGTTTAGTGCTGCATTATCTCTGTGGAGACTGTACTTAAAGACCACTTGCAAATAACAGTTGTTGCAGAATATGGCCAAGTATTTACCTATGTTACACCTTTTTTAAAATTTTCATTTGCAGTGGCAGTTAGCTTCTTTAAAAATATTCTCTTTCCTCTCCAAAACTGAACTGGGCTTTAACTTTTCTAGGGACACTTTCTCTGTTTACTCTATTGTATTTATTGCTGTTTATCTCTTGTGCTGGAGTTCAGCAGCTTACCACCCTAAGCGGGAAAAGCTGGTGACAGTACTTACTGGAGCACATTCACAAGTGAATTAATTTAGTTTATACTGAGTGTATGCCATAAGGACTAACTTTCAGGCTTATTCCATGGTCAGATGTAAAGTTGTTGTGCTTGTGGAAAGATCACTTGCAGGGAATGGCTTTTGGGGTTTTATGGTGTGTATGGCTGGTTTTTCCCTCCCCCAGTATTTGGCCAGTTATTGCAGTATTTGGTTGTTACTGTGTTCAGTGTTTTAAAAACAAGCAAAAATTCTATCAGTGTCATCCCTTCACACTTGGATGTGTCTTTTGCCTACCACTAACAGTCTTTCCCAAGTTACAATTCTGATGCTTTTTCAGAACTACAAAGCCGGAAACACCTCTCACCTTTCTCGGTTCTATTTAGACTTTACGAAAGTGTAGTTAAAGAACTTCTACTTATATAAATGCTATAAACCTTTGTATTCCTTTAATTAGGCAACAGATATGCAGACTGGAAAACCTAGTACAAATGAGTTCCTCTGATTTTGGTAAGTTTTACACATTTAATTTGACTGGGATATGTATCTGACAACCTTTTAATTACAGAAGTATATTCTCACAGATCACACTTGTGCTTTGACTCTTGACTGAGGACTTCTGGAGTGTGCTGCAGAACAGCAGATAACCAGCATAAATCTGCAGTAAGGGTAGAAATATAGGCAACCAAGTGAGATACAGTAGTATCAAAATAGGTAGTGGAAATGTTGGGAGTCAGTTTGTAACCAGATCTGTATGGTATATCACAGGGCAATCCTTACTGACCTTTGTGGGAATGTTGCATTAATGTGACTTGAGCTAAGGTGTCACCCCTAAGGTAGAATTTTGCAAAACTGGTAACTCATTTAATAAAGAATGGAAAGTTGCATCTAAAATCCCAATAGCTATTTTAGTTACAAAGGTAGTGGTTTGGGATTTTTTTCGGTGTTCTCTTGGCTTACATTTAAACTAGTTATATTTGTTTAGAGTTATTTACAAATTTAATTTATCTTTGCAGCAAGATCAATAAAATAGGATCACTACAACATTCTTTGTTTCAATTAAATACTGAAGCATGAGAAGCAGTATGTTTCTGAAGGATTATTGCAGCCTTGGGCTTATTGTAAGTTTGAGGGCTGAATTACTTAGCAAGTTGAGAAGTTCAGTAATTACTCAGAAATAAAATGTTTGTAGTATCTTCTCATTACAGATGAAATGCTAGTGTTCTATGAATGAATATTTTTACACATTATTTTGTTTTGTGAAATTATCAAGCTTCTTTCATATGCTGTTGTTGATTGTATCTTAAAAGTCTAATTATGTTGACATTTAATACGTATGTGGAAATAGCCTGTTTTAAATTACCTTTTAACTTTTATATGGTAGCTGGACACCAAAGAACTGTTCTTTAGTTTTTTTCCCTTGAATTTAAGCATCTTCTCAGTTCACTACTTTGTATCCTATTCCAGTAAAGCTAGTAGTTATTTGGTATTTAAATTACTATATTTGCTTTGTTATGCACGAAATTTCATCTTTCTCTAATAAAAGCCGAAAGCTACAAGGCAAGGTGTGGGAATAAATAAGGAATGATTCTCACAGCAGTGGCATTGGCTTCTAGTGAATCACAGAATATGCTGAGTTGGAAGGGACCCATAAGGACTGAGTCCAACCCTTAGCCTTGCACAGGACCATTCCCAAGAGTTACACCACGTGCCTGAGAGTATTGTCCAAACACTTCTTGAACTCTGTCAGTCGTGGTGCTGTGACTGCTTCCCTGGGGAACCTGCTCCAGTGCCCAGCCACTCTCTGGGTGAAGAACCTTTTTCTATCTAACCCAAACCTTCCCTGACTCTGCTGTAATGATGGTGTTTGAGCTTGCAGGTGCAAGGTGAGAATGGTAATGCCATGAGAGCGACAGCTTCAGAGAGCACAGGAAAGGAGACACATAGCTGCAAAAACTGGCTGAAAAGATGCAGAGTTGCAAGTGAAAGGCAGGATTGTGAATGGATGGCTCTTAGGATTACACACCTGAAGGCACTGTGCAACAATATGATGTTTCCTAGGAAGAGAAGCTGCAAAGCATATTTCCAAATAAATCTACCTATTTAAGTCCCCCAAGAGAAAAAGGTGCTGATAAATTATTTTATACATCTTCACGGAAGGTGTCTTGGAAGCAGTCAGGGAGCAGAGTAGTAGGGCTGAATTATTTTTTTCTAGCATTGAGTGCTTACATCTGTCATCTTTCCTGAGGGCCACCTTTTCTCTCTGTATCTGAATATGTGCCTGAGATGGTAAGATAAAGAATGAAACTTCTGGTAAGATGACATTTAGAAGTGGGTGTTTGCCACCAGCCACCTCACAAGTTGTCCTCAGAAAAGACAGTGGCTTTCAAGTGGCCTGGTTTAATTACTATGGAGAATGCAAATGTTAGACAAGCCATGGGTTGGTCACATCTGCTTTAAACTATTGGTCTCTTTTACTTCAGGTCAAGCTGTGAACTTGCACTCTGAAGCAGAGAGCATCAGGCATCAGTGTATTAAGTTTTTGCATTATGTGAAAGTTTTCATCTTCAGGTGAGATTTGCACACAATTTACTAACTTTGTGTAGCTTTGTACCAAGCTTTGTGTAGCTGCTTCTTACCTGTTTTCTGATTGTGTGTATTTTTATGTATATTGAGGTATCTGGAACCCCCTAAAGTGGAAAATGATGGAATGCTGCATCCGTATGAAGAGCTAGAAGCGCAGTTACCGTCAGTATTGGTGGAAGAGCTTCATGCTTTGACTATGCACATTGGTCACCTTTGTGAACTCCCTAGTAGTGTCCTGGCAGCATTTACTATTCAACATCAGGCAAAGGTTGATGTCTTCTATAATTTTAATCTTTTTATGTGACGTTATGTATTCAACTTGCTAAGTTTTGGTTTAATATAAGTATCTTTGTTTTGGGTTTTTTCTCCTCTATTAATTGCCATCCTGCATTTGGCATACTCAACTAATGAATTCTGTTTTTTTTTCTGTCGTTGCCTTTATTTATCTATGTATTTTTACGTTCTGTAGCTTCAGAATTCTTCCTACGCTATACAAATGATAATACCAATTAGAGGTAGATAAGTAGGCTTGAAATTTCTTGGTATTTGTCCCTACTGATGCTTACATTTTCTGAGCTTCCAAGTAGGCGGGGCATTTCTTTAAAAATACATTCTGAAATCTTGCTCAGAATAAGAAAAGATCTTGTATATAAAGAAAACTGCAGATGTGGAAGGAGGCATTGTAGCATTAAACACTAGTGAAGTGTACACCATTAGGATTTGTGCATATATATGATAGCTAATGCTTTCAGATCTTTTAGAAAGAAAAAAAAGGAATTTCGATCTTGGGTTGTATAAACTAGTATCTGGAAAGGAATGATCCGCTGAGAAGCAGTATTTTGAATCTTTCTGTTTGTTTAGCTTGTCAGTAGAGCCACTGTTGAGCTGATGAAACAGTAATTTCAAGTCAACTTTAAGGAAGAGAATATTGAAATTTTTGGAATTGTTTTAAAAGCTCACTTTAGCAGTTTGTGTGCTACCTAATACTTTTCTGTTAACAGAAGAATAACTAAGGGTGTTGTAATTTGTCAAGCTTAAATCAAAACTTCATAAACATCCTCTACAGACAGAATTAATTGTCATGAAAGTTTTTTATTTTTTTTTCCCTTTACCTGAATGGCATGTTTGTATGTTGCATTGTATTTGATCACAGATATCCGTAATGTTCACTGCAGGCCATCTTAGAGTTGTTAAGGATCATGGAATCGTTAAGGTTGGAGAAATCAAGTCCAGATGTTACTATAACAGCTCCATGTTCTCCACTAAACCATGAACCCAACTTTTTGAATGCTTCCAGGGATGGTGATTCCACTGCTAACCTGAGCAGTTTGTTCCAAAGCTTGACCACCCTGTCTTAGTATAGTATCCAGAATTCACTAAAAAACTGTTTAAGTAAATGTGTGTAATTTCTAATCACAGGTCTTTCCCCCATCATGGCATTTACTACATCTCCACTTGGATATTAATTGGCTAATACTGGAAGTTCTTCATGTACTAGATGAAAAAATGATGAGTAAGTACGCAGATTTTTTCCTTGAACTTACTCTTTACATATGACTTACCTAGTTTTCTCATCTAGTTTGTTCAGAATCATGTGCTAGTTTTGGTGGTTTTTAAGCATAGCTGTATTTAATGAAGTAAACTCAAATATGGTAAAGGCAGGTTCTTTGTGAATCTTCATGTGGTTCAAATTAAATGAAATTCTATTAGGAATTTGTTCTGTCAAAACTTGACCAAGATGACAGTTGGTTCTCAATTGATAAAAAGTACTAAATATTTAGTGACCATGCACTTCTTGACATCACAAATAAAAATGCATTTGCAGATATCCAGAATGCATGGCAGTGAATGGTAATTTGATGAAAACAATGGAAAAGTGTCCAGGGATGGACTGGAACAAGAATTCTCAGAGCAGAGAATTTGTATTATTAACCATGTGCAGCACTAAGAAAATATCGGGCAACAGAAGAAGCATCAATCAGAGTAGCTTGTAAAAGGCAAGCAAAAGGCAAGGCAATAACTTTTTAAATTTTTTTAAAAAGGCTTCAAAAGGGCAAGAAGTAAATTGATAAAAGTAAGCGGCTCATGTAAGTTAGATAAAAAAGGTCATAGAATGCAATTGAAAAACCCAGCTTCAAAGTAGTTCGGTTTGCTGAAGAATTGCTAAAATACAGAAGAGAACTTTTGTTGGTTTTTTTGAGGTTTATGTCTATTTTCCATGTCCATTCTACCGAAATAAATCACCAAAATGTATTTTGTTTTATAAACTTTGTGTCACTACAACCAAACCTTCCCCTCCCCAACCCCGCTCTTATTATAAATTATCAATATAAGTTCCATATAGGAATTGCAACAGTTGAAGTAATGTTGAGGTCTAGAAAGAATGCACTGTATGTTTAGCCCAGGTAACTGGTACTAAATCTGAACTCTTGGATTAGCTTTTGCCAGCTCTGAGTGCTGTCAAAACGCAGCCTTGCTCGGATTAACACATTGTCTCTGTTCCTGCATGTCTGTGTTACTGGATGGTGTGTGTGGGTTGGCTGTTTGTTCTGTAATTCTAAGTTTCTTTTATGATCTCTTGCAAGATAACCTGTTTTCCTTTTTTAGGGCATTTTAGAGAAAGGATAACAAAAGTGTTGGAGGCAATTTATTGTCCAGAATTCAGTATATATTTCTAGATAATGTTCTGAGTAATAATGCAGTAACCTATCCTTGTAAGAGAAAACTTGTGTTTTTTAACAATAAAATTTACTAGTAAAGACAGTAATATCTCTGCTTATATTATCTTGTATTCTTATGTGCCTTTTAGAATTTTTTAGGTTCTTATCTCATTCTGTAAAGGATGCTGGGTTGAAACTTTACACTGCTGAGACCAGTGGCAGGATAGTGGGTTCAGGGCTTCACCTTGCATTTCCAAGAATAAAATACAGGCTCATTCTACATATCATCTGCTCCACTGATGTCAAGAGAGTCGTATTGTTGAAAAGCCTGTGGGATAAGATCTTATAGCCTCTTAACTTTACCATTTTATCTGTGTTAATGTCTACAAATGCTCAAGTTGGAACATGCTCATGCCAGCTTTTTACATCAACACATCCAAAGGAAAGTGTTAGACCTCTCCAGAATTGTTTGTCATCAACTTGCATATCTGCAAAACATGTCATGATTCCAGAACATGCGCACTGGCATGTGACAAAGAGGAACTTGAAGATAAATAAATCTTTATTCCACCACAAAAACTGTGCCAATAAAAGGCTGTAAAGTGCCAAACTGTTTTACTGTCAACCTGAATAATACCAGATTTCTGTGCAATAATGAAGGGATTAGCTTGAATTTAGAAAGGATCAACTTTCTCATGTGAATTTGTAAATTAAAATTACATACAGGTCAACAAGCCAATTTTAAAATATATATATATAAGAAAAAAAAATCCTCTCTGTCTTACATTCCTACAGCGAAACCTGGAACTAAATAGGTCTAATTTTCTTTTGTGTTTTAGGACAAGTCGTATATGCTAACCAGTTCATAAATCTGACCGGAGAGAATTTAACCAGTGTCAGTTTATTTGAAAAACACTGTGGAAATCTCATATCTGATTTAATAAGTTTGTCCATCAACAAGTATACAAAGGTAACTCCTTTTCTTTATATAACACACGGGCAGTTAGTTGCTTGCATTGGGAACCATATGAATTAGATATTGCACCAAGGCATAGATGACTCCTTATTGCTAAGTTTTAAATGTTAGGTATGGCTTTGTATCTCCATGTTTTAAAGAGTGTTATTTGTTAGAAGCTCAAATTGTGTTATATTTATTCATGACCATCTGGCAGTTGAATGAGAGAGTAATATTGAAATGCACTGTGTACAGAGCAGAAGTGAGTGCCACATTTCCTAAGTTCAGTGTTCCAGGTTTAATGCCAAACATGGCACAGTCTAAAAGGTTTAGACAGATGAAAAAAAAAAAGTCTTTTCAAACTCTCTCAACAGGAACAAAAAGAGAATAACACTAGTCCTGGCAGTAAGCTAACTGGACACTTAGCAAATGTCATATTACAGTTTATTGTTGACCTGTACCTATTTCCACAACCTCATCTTTCTGTTACTGTGCTTTTACACTTGTCAAGCGAAAACTTGTCCTTCTCTTCTTTTCTTTTTCATTCCTTCTATAGCTGCAGTATTTTTCTCCCTATTTTTGAGCACTCCAAAGCTAGAAAGTCACAATAGCTCCACAGAGCAGCCAGAAAAAGAGCTGTGTAATCTTCTTTGTGTTATTGTGAAACTGGCTTTAGATGGGCATGTGTGATCCATGAATGCAGGACTGAACTCTGGGCAGTGACCGCTTTATAATCTATATTTTCGTAGTACAAAAACATGAGAAATGGAATCTCCCTTCTTTCATGTTACTTTTGAGGGTGAGGGGGAATGGCTGTACTAGCATTTGATAACTGTTCTTTTAAACTACCTTCCTGTAGAGCTGTTACCTTTTAAAATCAGTTTCGATCAACGAAATTATCAGATAATACTGCAACCTCCTTCCCTGTCAAAAGGCAAATAGATGAGTAATTTTTTTTAAAGAAGATTCAAATAGTATCTGTTGAACATTGTGCTTGATGATAGGCTTTGAAATGTCAGATGATAAAATGACAGATTTGATCCTTCCACAGAGCCACATTACAAAGAGAGAAGATTGTTTTACCACTGCTTTTTCTTCAGCTCTCCTTAGGCTTGGGGCACAGCTTGAACTAGTTCTATTTGAGACTAATTTCTGAGTGAAGCTTACACTTGAGCTGGATAACATCTCTTCAGCTGGTGGCTCCTATAGTATGCAATCATTGCTGTCATACAGTAATGGAAATAACATCCCTCAAAATTGTTGAAAATGCAACTGGTACCCAGAGTAGATGACACCATCAGCTCATCACTAAAACACGTCATTAGAGTTTTGGCTGAGAACATTCAGGACTGCAGCTTTTAACATTTGTGGGTATCCTTGGAAGGAGGGACATAAAATCTAGTCCTCCAGATGCATATTTTCAGATATATTTCTTGGGCAGCTCTGATATTAAGATGCTTGACTTGGGTGACGTACTGAGCTCATTGTGCTGTGAGACACATTTGGCAAAGAAATCTATATCCTTGGATATCTTCAATTTTCAGCAGCCACATCGCTGACACCAGAGCTCTGTTGTCCCAACAGCACCACAATTTGAGGTTTTAAACATGCTTACCAAGGCACTGAACTCAGTATGTTGTGAGATGAAATCCAGAGTATCTCTGAAGAAAACAATATCTTGGTTATCCTTAGTCTAACCAATATCCACATGGTGTTCTTGCTTTGATACTACTGGCCAAACTCTATTCTGAATGGATAATGCACATCTGCAGAAGAAATCCTGAAATCTTGTAGAGTAGCACAGTAGTAGATGCAAGCAGTAGATGAAGAAACCTAGTTCCTGCAATAACTGGTAGTCCATGTAGAAAGCGTGAAACTCTGATTTGTAAGATAGTTTGTATACCTAATACTTTCATAAAAACTTGCACTGTTATAGTTCATCTGTAATATGTAGACTGCTCATTTCTGATAGACCTGTTTTGCTCTTAGGTAGTGAGTTATTTTTGAGTCACTTCAGTTTTGGGAAGTTAGTATTTAAATAATGAATATTAAAACAATAGACTTTAGTGGTTACACCGATGATTATTCTCAAGATTATTTTGGCATAAAATTAATTCAGGACGTTGAGAGATTCCCCTAACAGATCTTTAACTAAAAGCATGAGGAGAGACAAAGGCATGTGAAATACTCTGAACAGTATATGTGGATTGTGTGTAAAGAATTATTTAAAGAATTATTTAAAATATTTCAGTCTTGACCTCATGATGCTCTTAAATTGATTGTCAGGGTCTACCCTGACAGTTTCATAGGATAAAGAGGATCCTTTAGCGAGACAAAAACAAATTATATGTCACATTTATAAATACATATAATTCATATTTATAATAAAGTGTTCAGTATTTAAACTTCATTTGGAGCTGTATGAAACAGTAGTTATAAACACATTATTCTGTGATAAATAAAAAGTTTGCATTCTAGTAGAATATTACAGAGATTTGAAACTGTGGTGATATACTCGTTCTCATTGTGAAAGTGTGGGTTTTTAGTCATTCACTCCCAGTTTTGTA